GTCAGTTGTAAACATATTATCCTCATATTTTGTGTAAGTTGTAAACATATTATCCCCATATTTTATGTCAGTTGTAAACATATCCTCATATTTTGTGTAAGTTGTAAACATATTATCCCCATATTTTATGTAAGTTGTAAACATATTATCCCCATATTTTATGTCAGTTGTAAACATATTATCCCCATATTTTATGTCAGTTGTAAACATATTATCCCCATATTTTATGTAAATTATAAACTTATTATCCCCATATTTTATGTCAGTTATAAACATATTATCCCCATATTTTATGTCAGTTGTAAACATATTATCCCCATATTTTATGTAAATTATAAACTTATTATCCCCATATTTTATGTCAGTTGTAAACATATTATCCCCATATTTTATGTCAGTTGTAAACATATTATCCCCATATTTTGTATAAGTTGTAAACATAATATCCCTCATATTTATGTCAGTTGTAAACATAATATCCCTCATATTTATGTCAGTTGTAAACATAATATCCCTCATATTTATGTCAGTTGTAAACATATTATCCCCATATTTTGTGTAAAGACTACACTTTAAAAAACCCATGTTCACTGTAAGGACTTTGTAAGATGCCTGGCCTGCAGCACGTGATAGTGATTATGACTCTCAGACCCTCTTCTTACTGGATATATTCATGAGATCTTCTTTGCATTCACTGGCTGTTAACTCAGGCAGAGGTTCTTCCACTTCTGGACTTTAGTCTTGTTTTAGAACTTGTGTTGTGTGCACATACATTTTACAGATCCGGCTTATTTGTATGCTGACTGTTGGTTGCCAGCCTCTTAGGAGGCAGATGTACTTCTGGTTCATTGTTGTTCAACCCTTGTACATTTGCGCTTAGAAAGGTGGTTGATGAGTAAATACCCAAACAGTCAAATAAAATACCCACATTAAGCAGTAGACGCTTACGACATGTTTGTTCAGTGAATTGTGGGTCTATTATCCCCATAATGGGACCCTGGAACCCACACAAGGATTTCACAGAATGATTTTTTGTTTGTTTTCCCCCCTCCCGGCTACTACCTCAGAGTGTGACCACCACTGCTGCTTCAAGGGTTGTGTCCTCAGTAACAGACCAACAGGGCAAATTCTACATACTCAGTTCAGCCTTCTCTTCTCAAAGTCCATGCCATCTTATGTTGGTAGTCTTATCTATCCACAACCTTCTGTCTTGTGTACTTTCAGTCAACTGGGACACAGTGATCTTCCATGCCATGATGTCAAACAGTCCAGCATCTTCTCTCTCTGTCTACCTCTGCCTCTTTCCCACAAAATGTCTCACTGTCACGATGTACTCAAATTTTTTTTCCTTCTCATGACGTGACCAAAGAATGTAGATTGTCTCTTCCTGATGTAGACAATCAGTTCTCTTCATGTGTCACTTTTTGTTCAAGACATCTTCATTACTCTTGTTATGTGTTCACTGTATTCTCATTATTTCTTATAGAACACATCTCCGCAGCTTCCAAAGTTTGTCACCAATTGACCAACTGTATCTGTGATTCACCTTCCTATATCAGGATAAGATTTGTATTTCTTCAACCTCCTAGAAAATAATGAATAAAGCACCCTTAACCACCACAGCATTCCAAGCACTACCCTGTCATACACTGCAGTCTTTTGCAGGTAAGAGATGTGTAGCATAATGTTTATCTACAATTTAAGCCTCCTTGTTTATGTAACATTTAATACTAACCCCCCATTCCCCCGTGTTTTATTTTATAAGGTCCATGCTATTTTAAAATAGAGTTTAATTCAACCAAGAAAGAAAGTTAATGCATTCAACAGCCTGTCTACAGCCTCTCCCCTCCCCTACCCTGACCCTTAACCTAGATCACAGGTCCTTGACCCACTTCAAAGTCTACTTGCTGGCTTCACTTCTGCTGTGCCTGTAAACACACTTTGTCTCCCCCTGTCTGCCCCAGGCCCCTCCCTACACTGAATGTAAATGGAGTCACTGTTATGGGATGTGTGTGTGCTTATAAGTGGAAGCAGATGGGAGAGAAAGGATGACTGTGGTTTGTTTCTACACTTATGCCTAAAGTACCACTCCTGCAGTTTCTCAACCATGTTTGTTCTGGGAGTTAGCTGTTGTGTGTGACCTACCTGATTGTGTCATATGTACAGGGCTTTTCTTCTGGCGGGGTGCAAGGGGTACCTAGCACTGAGCCTTTTTCTAGACATCAGTGTTTTTTTGTCCAGTTCTCCTGTAACAGACACTTTGTGGTGAGTAACATACATAATAACATAACATAACCCTTGACCCATTAGGGTCATGGAGGTGTATTTGCACTAGCAAATAAAACCCACCATCTTTCTCTGTCTTCGGCTTGATGAATAAGTGTATGATAACTTAGTCCTGTCCATTTATTGATGTTGTCATTCCAGGTTCTTCTTTGCCCTCCTCTTCTTCGATGTTCCTTGAAGTACAGTCTTTACAATCGAATCATGTCTCACCATGTGCCCAAACCAAGCTAGCTTGCAACATTTCACCACTGCCAAGAGAGGCTCTTGATGAACCGCAACTTTGTATATTTTTTCTCTGACATATTTGTTAGTTCTGCTTTCTAAATGATTCGTAAAATGTGTCTGTAGCATTTACATTTGAAAGCCTGAATCCTACTTTCCATTTCCACAGTCAGAGTCCAACTCTCACACCCGTATAAGAAAATAGACGACACCAGTGATTTGTAAATATTGACCTTGACTGCAATGCTGATTTTGTTCTGTTTAGACACTTTAAGGTCAGTACCAGCACCTTTGTTTCTAGAGAGAGAAAAACCTATATATACATATATATCAGGTCTCATTTATTTAATATCTGCGTATGTGGTAGTATCTTCATCATCCTTATTCCATAATACTACTTGTTAATGGGTCACCAGTTTGTTGGTGACTGATCAGCTCCCCCCCACTTTGATGGTTAGATGGGATGGACTTCATGGTTGCATGCCTAAGGCTTGTCCATTTGTTCTGTATCCAGATCTTTCTTGGTCTGCCTCCTCTCCTCTTCCTCTCTACTGATCCCCATAGTTTTGTTTTTACCTGAATAGAGGGAATTAAATGATAGAATCATTAATGTGGAGCTTTAGCAGATAGCTAAACTAGTTCCAGTGGACCAAGAGGTGAGGAAAAGATGCTGGCTTTGGATAGGACACTTTTGTACTTCAGTACTTTTGTATGGGGCGGAAACATGGAGAACAACTAAGGCAATTGCTAGTAAACTACAGACATTCATTAACTGGTGCATGGGAAGAATAGAGGGAATAAATGAATGATAGAATCACTAATGTAGAGCTTTCGAAGAGAAGCAATCAAGCTCCAGTGGACCAAGAGGTGAATAAAAGATGTTGGAAAGGACACACATTGAGAACACCTGAGAACAATATAACTGGAATGTATTTGGAACCCACAGGGGCATAGAAATAAAGGAAGACCTAAAAACGCATGGAGAAGGGTGCTAGAGAGTGAAGTTAACAGATCTTCTTCTTCGCGCTCACCGGCTGTAAACTTCGTCGGAAAGTTCTGGTTGTTCGTCCACTTCTGGACTGCAGTCCTGTTCCAGAACCTGAGGGTTGCGTGTGCATCCATTTGACAGATCTGTATGCAGACTGTTGGTTCCTTGCCTCTCAGGCAGATGCACTCCGACTTCCAAGGAAGCTCCCAATTAGTCGACTCTTACGACGTGCTTTTGGGTAGGCAGTGGGTCTATTCTTGTTTTTCTCATAGTAGGGCCTCGGAACCCACACGGGGGAGTTAACAGATGGGAAGGACATGGGGAGAGCTGCATGCGATAGCGAAGGATAGAATGACTTGGCTGAGTTGGTGAGGGTCTATGCTCCATCGAGGGGAAGAAAAGCAGAAGAAGAAGACATCTGTTTTTGAGAGGCCGTTTAATCTTATTACATTTCCACATCATTGCATTTTCCATCTTTTCACTGTAATTAAAAGATATTCATAGCTGCCAATGTGCTGGGTATATACAGTGAACCTCGTCATTTGTGATGTGATCTCAGTAGGATGTGCCAAGAATTTGGCTGACATCGCATTTTCAATGCATGTATTTTCTTTTGTAGTTTAACTGTTAAGGTTACCGTTTCACAGCTGTAGGTAAACATACTAATAACTAGTGCTCTGAACAGTTGAAGCTTAGTCTTACACAGATGATTGTATCTTATATATATATGAGAGTAACCTTGTTAATAACAAAGAGTTTTGGCCATGTCTATAGACATAATATTATCTCCCTCTGTGTGTCTCCATGTCTCTCTCTGTTTTTCTGTCTCTCTGTGTCTCTCTCTGTCTCTCTGTCTCTCTTTTTCTGTGTCTCACACTCTCTCTCTCTCTCTCTCTCTCTCTCTCTCTCTCTCTCTCTCTCTCTCTCTCTCTCTCTCTCTCTCTCTCTCTATGCAGGCTGCTACCTACAGGTTTGACACCCTGAGATTGCAAAAATCTCCATGTGGATCGCAAACCAACAGGGCAAATCCCAGATACCTTGTTCAACCCAACAAAAGGTTATAATTGGGACACCCGTCATGGCTGCACCAATCTGTGTAACCGGCATTCCTGAGAGGATACAAATTTATCTTTTCTGTACTACTCACTGGGAGGCGCTGTGGTGTATGCGGCTAGACACTTGACTGCAGTTCCGAAGGTCATAGGTTCAGATCCTGAAGTTAATTGACTTTTAAAAAAAAAGTCATTTGCTCCCATGTCGACCCAGCTTTAAATAGATACCAGGTAAAATCCTGGGAAGTAAAGGTGGCTGGCATGATTTTGACCATGTCACCCACTGAGGGTGTGGAAAAGGTCCTTTACTTGTTAACATTTAATACTATTCACCATTTCACCTGCCATTTATCTGTTGGTTTTCATCACTCCAGATTTTTCCTGTGAGTGAAGCCAGATTAGCTTCAAGTTAGTATTTCACCAGAAGAAAATAAAGGCCGTGATGGATTCTGATGATATTCTTGCTGCCTCATCTGGACAACAGAATGTCAGATGAAAACAGTGACAGGGAGACGGTTGGAGAGTCACTGCTGCAACAGTTTAGACAGAAGACTATCATTGGGATACCTCGTCTTGGAGATGATGATGGAGGCAAAATTCAGGTTGATGGTAAGATGTGGTCTTTCACTATGATAAATAGCATTGCTCTCATGATAGTGAATGTGATTGTTTTACAGAGGGTCAAATCTTTCTGCCGTATTTGTTGACAGCATTGATACTTTTCCAGTGTCTGTGTAATCACTCTGGTTTCTCTTTACAGCATATAAATCTTTCGACTTTTTCCAGTCTCCATAAAAGTCCCTTTTATTCATAATCTCCTTGTGTGGGTTCCGGGTTCTGTTGGGGGAAAAATAAGAATAGACCCACTGTCTCCCCAACAAGCATGCTGTAGGAGCCCACAAATTGGGGGGCTTCCTTCGAAGCCAGAGAGCATCTGTTCATACAAGAAACAACCAGCTGCACACAAATAAACCAGTAAAATGTATGTACACACAAAACTCACCACATAGCCAAATATCAAATGGTTAAACAACCGAGACTTTCCACTAGAGCTTCAAATAGATAAACCACCGGGACTTTCCACTAGAGCTTCAAATGGATGAACTACGACTTGCTTTCCACTAGAGCTTCAAATGGATAAACAACCGAGACTTTCCACTGGAGCTTCAAATGGATGAACTACGACTTGCTTTCCACTGGAACTTCAAATGGATGAACTACGACTTGCTTTCCACTGGAGCTTCAAATGGATGAACTACGACTTGCTTTCCACTAGAGCTTCAAATGAATGAACTACGACTTGCTTTCCACTGGAGCTTCAAATGGATGAACTACGACTTGCTTTCCACTAGAGCTTCAAATGAATGAACTACGACTTGCTTTCCACTGGAGCTTCAAATGGATGAACTACGACTTGCTTTCCACTAGAGCTTCAAATGAATGAACTACGACTTGCTTTCCACTGGAGCTTCAAATGGATGAACTACGACTTGCTTTCCACTAGAGCTTCAAATGAATGAACTACGACTTGCTTTCCACTAGAGCTTCAAATGAATGAACTACGACTTGCTTTCCACTAGAGCTTCAAATGGATGAACTATGACTTGCTTTCCACTAGAGCTTCAAATGGATGAACTACGACTTGCTTTCCACTGGAACTTCAAATGGATGAACTACGACTTGCTTTCCACTGGAGCTTCAAATGGATAAACTACGACTTGCTTTCCACTAGAGCTTCAAATGGATGAACTACGACTTGCTTTCCACTAGAGCTTCAAATGGATGAACTACGACTTGCTTTCCACTAGAGCTTCAAATGGATGAACTACGACTTGCTTTCCACTGGAGCTTCAAATGGATAAACAACCGTGACTTTCCACTAGAGCTTCAAATGGATAAACAACCGTGACTTTCCACTAGAGCTTCAAATGGGTCAACAACCATGACTTTCCACTGGAGCTTCAAATAGGTGAACAACCATGACTTTCCACTGGAGCTTCAAATGGGTGAACAACCAGGACTTTCCATTGGAGCTTCAAATGGATGAACAACCAGGACTTTCTACTGGAGCTTCAAATGGAGGAACAACCAGGACTTTCCACTGGAGCTTCAAATGGAGGAACAACCAGGACTTTTCACTGGAGCTTCAAATGGAGGAACAACCAGAACTTTCCACTGGAGCTTCAAATGGATGAACAACCAGGACTTTCCATTGGAGCTTCAAATGGATGAACAACGAGGACTTTCTACTGCAGCTTCAAATTGATGAACAACCGTGACTTTCTACTACAGCTTACAGCTGCTGAACAGAGAAGAAAGAAGAAGTTCATAATCATCAGAAAAGTGACACCACATTTTCCACCAGTATCTTCTTCTTCTTAGTGTCTGCCAGCTGTGAACTCCAATGCAAAGTGCTTGTTGCCCTCCCAGTTCTAGACCTTGATCTTGTTCAGAATTTGAAATTTGCTTGCATTTCCATTGTACAGATCTGGCTTATTTGTTTGTAGGCTGTTGGTTTGTAATCACTCAGACAGATACACTCCAACTTTGATGAAAACACTGCTGTTTAGTTGGCTGTCGCGACACATTTGTTAGGGGAGCAGTGGGTCTACTGTTATTTTTCCTCTAAAATGAGACCCCAGAATCAACACGGCAAATTTCATCAATATTGTGTGTAGTTTGGGGTCAGGGAAGATCATCACGTGACTAGGTGAAATAATGGTTGCAATCAGAATATGGGAATATAGAGAAATAAGGTAAATCTCCTTCTGGTTCTTCAGGTTTTTTTTCTACTTCTTCTTCTTCCTCTACTTCTTCTTTTTCTTCTTCTTCTTCTTCTTCTTCTGCTTTATCTTCTTCTCCTTCTTCTTCTTTTTCTTCTTCTTCGTGTTCGCCGGTTGTAAACTGCGCCATTTAGACTCATCTCTTGTTCCAGAACCTGAGCGTTGCGTACACATCCGTTTTACGGGTCAGGCTTATTTGTGTGCAGACTCTAGGTTCCTAACCTCAGGCATATGTTCTTCTGGTTTATTATTATTCTACACTTTTCTGCAATTGCCACATTAAACAGTTTTGTTACTCTCCTCACTTAACCACTTTTTAATGTGGTGTAAGGTAGTAGTTTCAATTTCAACCTTCCCTGTATGGGTCCCAGGGCCCTATTGTGGGGAAAACAAAAATAGACCCACTGCCTACCCAAAAGCTTGTTGTAAGAGTCGACTAATTGGGGGCTTCCTTCAAAATCGGAGTGCATCTGCCTGAGAGGCAAGGAACCAGCAGTCTGCACACAAATGAGTCAGATCTGTCAAACGGATGCACACGCAACACTCAGGTTCTGGAACAGGTCTGCAGTCCAGAAGTGGACGAACAATCAGAACTTTCCACCAGAGTTTACAGCTGGTGAACGCGAAGAAGAAGAATTTTAACCTGAGGACTTAGAGCTGCACACATTCCCAAACATCATGCAATGTAAAGATAGGAAGAGCAAAAGGATGAGGATTGGAGGACAGTGTTAATTACTTGATCTAATAGAACAGTTTAATCTGTAGGAAGTTTGTGTGTGCTGTTAATCCATGATGAAATCCTACCTTTAACAACGCACAGGTTTCTTCATTGACAAGAACTCGGAGGAGAAGCTACCTTCACCTTCTCCTCAGCCGACATCATCTTGTCTGGCGCTGAGACATGCAGTGTCGGCTCTGACTTGCATTGATGACTTCGTCTTGGAGGAGCTGGGCAGCGGATTCTTTGCTAATGTTTACAAGGTAACCATTGGTGTCCCTAACAGCTTGGGATTTGAGAATCTGGCATTCTGGCTAAATCTGTTAGTGTCGTATCCATTTCTGTTCATGTGACGTCCATTTCTATATCTTTTAATGTGATATCTATTTCTGTATCTTTTAATGTGATATCCTATGCTGTATCTGTTAATGTGATAACATTTAATATGATATCTATTTCTACATCTGGTATGCTGTATCTGTTAATGTGATATCCATTAATGTGATAACAGTTAATATGATATCTATTTCTACATCTGGTAATGTGATTTCCATTGCTGTATCTATTACTATGATGATATCCATTAATGTGATATCCATTTCTGTATAAATTCTATACATTGCTATATCTCGGATAAAACTACTGTCCCCCAAAAATAATAAATTTTAAAGAAATGTAAAATGTCACAGACTTTGATTATCTTATCTAGGCTTAATAATAAATAGCAATGGAGACTTTTTGAAACACCAGCAAGGAGATAAATATTAGAATTTTGAGAACATGCATCTTCCCTGTGGCTACATACAGATGTGAGTCGTTGATTATCTCTCAGTCCTTAAAAAAGAGAATAGGGGTTTTAAGCTGAAATGCTATAGAAAGATTCTCAGAATATCTTGGACAAAGAAAAGGATAAATACTGACATCTTGAAAGATCTGAACATCAAAGAAAATTGGCTAATAAACAGCATCCTGTTTCGAAAGCTGAAATATTTTGGTCATATCAAGCACCACGACGGATTGGAAAAAAATAATAGCAGAAGGCGTGGTACCAGAAAGGAGGGGCAGGGGCCGACCAACACGAAGATGAGCACAGGATATAAGTGACTCCTTGAGTATAAAAATACATAAGGCGGAAGAGCTGGCGAGAGTCCGAGTTTTTTTAGGCAGACTGTGATGAGAGCGACCTTTTGCAAAGGACATGCTACTTGATGATGATGATATCTCTATTTCTATATTTCTTAAAGTCATATACATTTCTGTATCTCATTATGAGCTCCATTTCTCTAGTTGACTTAATGTGTTCAATTTTGCAGGCCACCCATCGAGTGACAGGTGAAGAAATGGTGATGAAAATAAACAAGGATCATGCGAACCGACTTGGAGCCCTGCGGGAGATTCAACTCATGAACCGGCTGTCTCACCCAAATATTCTCAAGTACGGAAGTGAGAGAAAGATTCTCCTGTACTTGCCTGTAGCCATCATCATTTTCTCTTGTACCATTATGTGTCACATAGGGCTCACAGTCTATTCCTTCATTCTGTTGTGTCCTATGCAGTCACTTTGGTATCATGGAGGGAACTATCCCAGCACTTCAGGCTTCTCTCCTCACTGTTCACTTTAGGGATCTATGATATCATTTTTAAAAAAATATATATAATCCTTTTTAGCAGTTATCTTCTTCTTCGCCTTCACCAGCTGTAAACTCTGGCGGAAAGTTCTGGTTGTTCATCCACTTGTGGACTGCAGTCCTCTTCCAGAACCTGAGTGTTGCGTGTGCATCCGTTTTACAGATCTGACTCATTTGTATGCAGACTGCTGGTTCCTTGCCTCTCAGGCAGATGCACTCCGACTTTGAAGGAAGCTCCCAGTTAGTCGACTCTTACAACAAGCTTTTGGGTAGACAGTAGGTCTGTTCTTGTTTTCCCTATAATAGGGCCCTGGAACCCACACAGGGGTTTACCAGTTATAATATTCAAAACAATGTTTTTCCGTAATGAATTTAAATAATGCGGACACAAACAATAGGTTGCACAACAGGCTTCCAGCGGCAAAAACACACCATGATGTGTCGAATGAAACTATTTGCATTTCAGTTGAATTTGTTCAGTTGTTTGTGTGCTTCATTTTATGTTGATGTAACTCTGTAGTAACGCACCTGACGAGATACAGCGAAATATGCCTGGCAATAAATTGTGGAATGTATTGTTTGTGTCCGCATCATTGAAATTATAAAATTGATAAATTATAACTCTTTCTTCCGAGAACCGCTCTTGTAGAGCAGATGGAAGCACACCTCTGACCTGAAAGTTGTAGGTTCAAATCCATATTTGAAAATTCCCAAAAGTGCCCTATCCTCATCTTCTGCAGCGAAGTGCAGACTTCTAGTCTGTATGGTATTAACAGTCTGATTTTATTTCTATCTCGCCTCTCTCTGACCAGATTCCCTGGTGATTCCTCGCTGCATCATTCTCTTCATACCATGATGATCTGTTTGTGTCTCTGCACTGTTTACCCGCTCCCACGGGGCCTTTACCACATCTCTCCCACGGGGCCTTTACCACATCTCTCCCACGGGGCCTTTACCACATCTCTCCCACGGGGTCTTTACCACATCTCTCCCACGGGGCCTTTACCACATCTCTCCCACGGGGCCTTTACCACATCTCTCCCACGGGGCCTTTACCACATCTCTCCCACGGGGCCTTTACCACATCTCTCGCAAGGGGCCTTTACCACATCTCTCCCACGGGGCCTTTACCACATCTCTCCCACAGGGCCTTTACCACATCTCTCCCACGGGGCCTTTACCACATCTCTCCCGCGGGGCCTTTACCACATCTCTCCCACGGGGCCTTTACCACATCTCTCCCACGGGGCCTTTACCACATCTAGTTTGTCATGCATCAGTTTACCACAGAGGGGTGCAGCATGATCCAGTTAATCTTCCTGTTCATTTCCCAACAAACTGGCATGTCCTGGAGAAAATATCCAAAATATAAAAGAAAACATAATGAGATAAGGCCCCAATCTCTTCCATAGTGCTATTATTGCACCACTGTCTGAAAGCAATTATTATGCTTTGTTCTTTTAACACCTGCCTCGGAAATCAAATACTGGTACACTGACTGTGAAACAGGTTCACTAACCTCTCATCCACACAGCCACTGTCTTGATTATAGTGATTAAAAACAGGGCTGACTGCAGTCAACCTATTATCAAGAATTTAATCCACTGTACTATGACTATAGTCTGTTCTGGAAATTGTGCCCAACTTTAACATTCTGTAATTTAGTAACCGTTCAATGTAAGCTATTGAAATTTGACATACAACCTGTTAATAATCGTGTCTGTAAAAAAATTTGTTTCATGTAAACAAACTTCTAGTTTTCATTTTCCCTGCCTTTGTTAAGCTTCTTAGTGACAGTTCATAGTCACAGTTCGGTAGATTAATGATTACAAGTAGCAAAGTCACATAGGTATCAAAACGTGGAAATAATCACACAAGCCAGTGACAAGATGAGGAAAGAGAGAGGTCTTAAAGGGTTGACCTGACACCCCTGCAACATAGAAGAAGCCCTGCATCACAATGAGGCATCAATGGGAAGGGAAGTCACTCTGTTTGTGGGCCTGACTTTATTATTTGTTCCGATTAATATTTTTGTTATACTGTCTTGTGGAAGCCACAGTGGTCTATCAGCTTGGCGCCCACCTGCAGATCCAAACATCCTGGGTTCAAGTCCGAAAGGAACCAGACTTTTTTCAGATCTGACCTTGGCTGCCAGGTCGACCCAGCCTTGAGTAGGTACCAAGCAAAGTCCTGGGAAGTAAAGGTGGCCTGCTTGACGTTGACCACATCACTCATGACATGGCGTTCCTATTGGTCTATAACATATAGATTTAACACTATGTGCTTATACGCTTGAAGGCGTGGAAAAGGGTCCTTTACATTAACTCTACCAGACCGCTGGCTCGCTATTACGGGAATTTCCGAACCTGCCGCTAAACCGCTGTCCCTCAATGTCGGGAATTTGCGAACTATGAGAAAACAATGCGCCACAAACTAAAAATAACTAGCCAATCATAATCAGATCTCGTGGATAGTCTTCCTAGATGTCTGCCCGCATGTGTTTGGATAAAATTTGAGTTGTTTTACGTGAACAAATTCTGAAAATTCATAATAAAATAAGCCGCTGATGAACCAACCACTTCAACAGAAAAGTGAAGTAGGTCTAGGCTTTTCACAGTCCAACAGGTGATTGATACTTTGGTTTATTCAGACTCTGCGGAGTCATAATTTCATGAAGACTACGTTCACAGTTGAAGTGACACAGTCAGTGAGAACTGGAATGATGAGGAGAATCTTGAAAATTATAAATCTAGGAATAGCTCGAAAGTAGGAAAAGGGGGCGTGTCCCTCAAACAGCAACATCTGGTGTTCACTTTGTGAAACAAGGTTGATCCTGCTGGGGTGGTTTAGCACACAAAGGTGGAATATTGGTGCTAGATAAAAGATTAACCTATTTACTACAATGTCTCCAAGTTTCATCTTATTCTATCCACTTGTTTGCATGTAACTAATATTTTTGTATATCATGTTGGTTTTTTCGCGTTAATGCCCAGGAGCTCAGGATAGGAGGCAGTTAGGTTCAGGGCCTGAGGTCTGGTAGGGTTAAATTGTGTCGTAGTTTCCTCCAGTGATTGTTACGTTGTTATTTGAGATAGCTGGTGTTTAAGTTTGGTAGTTAATTTGTCTTTGACATATTTTGTTTGTAGGTTTCTTGGGGTTTGTGTCCATGAAGGGCAGCTGCATGCCTTAACTGAGGTAGGAATTACTGAACATTTTAACAGTATGTGTTTATATTGTGACTTGTCACTACATAAAACAACCATAAGTAGCTGTATTTGCCACTTTTGCCCTTTAAGCCTGCAGATTTATGGCTGCATGGCTAGTGCTGTTGCAACGGACTGTTCAGGTTGGGATTTTAATTTTGCCTCCTGTGAGAAAAACCTTGTAGAGGATTTGAACCTGGGTCTCCCACACAGGAGCCTAGCATTCTTATTCGTTTGGTCATCCATTTATCACTATGTAACTGACCCTAAACTACTGTAGGTGACATTTATCATCTCGTGTCAAAAATAGAACATTTGTTGTGTCAGACAGAACATTCATCATCTTGTGTCAAAAATAAAACATGTGTTGTGTCAGACAGAACATTCATCTTCTTGTGTCAAAAATAGAACATTTGTTGCGACAGACAGAACATTCATCATCTTGTGTCAAAAACAGACAAAACATTATAATATTGTGTCAAAAATAGAACATTTGTTGTGACAGACAGAACATTCATTGTCTTGTGTCAAAAACAGACAAAACATTATAATCTTGTGTCAAAGATAGAGCATTTGTTGTGTTGTGTCAGACAGAATATTTATCATCTGGTGTCATTATCCTTCAAAGTCTGAATGCATCTGCCCGAACAGCAAGAAACAACCAGCTGCTCACAGGTAAGCAAGTAAAACGGATGTGCACACAAAACTCAAGCCCTGGCACACAGCCAAAGTTTAAATGGATGAACAACCTGGACTTTCTGCCAGAGCTTACAGCCGGTGGACACAGAAGAAGAAGTAGAGGTGCTAGGCATTTCTTCTTCTTCTTCTTTTTCTTCGCGTTCACCAGCTGTACACTCTGGCGGAAAGTTCTGGCTGCTCATCCACTACTGAACACAGACTGTTGGTTCCTTGCCTCTCCGGCAGATGCACTCCGACTTCAAAGGAAGCTCCCCAATTAGTCGACTCTTACGACATGCTTTTGGGGAGGCAGTGGGTTTATTCTTATTTTCCCCACAATGAGGCCCCGGAACCCACACGGGGGACTAGGCATTCAATATTGCACTGTGTTGTAGATGGGACAAGAAATGCTGCATCTTTTGTATTGTTTACATTATATTGCTACCACATGTATACGCATTTACCAATCATGCCCCACACACACACATGTATATTTGCATATAAACATGCAATCACATATACCACTAAATACACTTTCATACATAATTACAATGCTGGAAATTTAATAAATGGAAAATCTGAAACTTATTCCTGTTGTCGAATGGTCAAGTGTTTGCTATAAATAAACACAAGGACGGATTTTATTGTAGTTGGGACACTTGAAACCCACTTAACCCACTTCACTTCTCATGAAACAGCTCATTGAGCAGTAACTGAATGTGAGTTTTGTCCGGCCAAGAAGACTGTTGATAGGTCACACATTTACCACACAAATACACCACACATTTACCACACAAATACACCACACTCAGCTAAGAGATACATTATGAATATATAATAAACAAGGAGACAATATATTAATCTGCACTCGCAGAAAGAAGTAGAAAAATCGGACACACCAGACAACATGAAAATCAAAAGCTGTAATTGCTGTGCTGGGAATCGAACCTGTCACCTCTAAATGATGAATGCACCTCGCTGTGGAGACAAGTGTACTAAGCCCATGACCAGCTAGAGGGCCATGATCAGCACAGTGTCCAGATGCTTGCCTGCCATGCTGTAAACTCTGATGAAAAGTTCTGGTTGTTCATCCACTTCTGGACTTTAGTCTTGTTCTGGAACTGAAGTTTTGCATGCACATCAGTTTTACAGATCTAGCTTACTTGTAAACAGACTGTTGGTTCCTCCCCGCCTCTTAGGCAGATGCACTCTAACTTCAAAGGAAGTATCAATTAGTGTACTTACTTTTACAACATGCTTGTTAGGAAGCAATTCAGTCTATCTCCCCCACCCTGGACCGCAAAACCCACACAGGGAGCAGTTTAAATGAGAACAGGTGCTTTATTAATATCCTACCCCAGACAACGGCACAGGACAGTCCAACATTTTAGAGGGTAGTAGGACTGGGTTTCCCAGCTTTTGATGCTTTTAACGACCCCAAAACATCTAGAACTGGCCCTAACCTCAATCCACCTACGTCCCACAAGAGAGTGCAGCCTAGGTCCCATGACTGCATGCAGCCTAGATCCCACAACTGCATGCAGCCTTTCTACCACCCCCTGAAATATTAGACTGTCCCGTGACCTGTAGATTTCCCCTGTTTGGGGTAGGATATTAATAAAGCACCTGAGAACATAATGTGATGTCTGTCATCCACAACATGCTCTATCAGTTACTGAATGCGGTGTCTGCCTCTTGTACTCTCCAAGTTTATCAGTGGTGGTACCCTGGAGGCTTTACTGGCCAACAGAGCTGAAGAGTTGCCATGGATACTTCGAATCAAACTTTCCCTGGACATTTCCGAGGGCTTGCATTACCTTCATTCTCAGGCTGTCTTTCACAGGGATCTCACATCCAGGGTTTGCTATTTTTTTCTTTCTCAACGCCTTTGTGAAATATGTTTTCATTAATGCTTTATTGTACTGATCAACTGTGTTACGTCTGTTGATTGTTTATCATTCTTTTTTTGGGGAGCAACAAGGTTGATTTCATTGATCAGAGATTATTGCTTGTGTATGAGAACAACAGTGTTACATTAACTGATTATTTATCGTTCTTGTAATAGAACAACATGTTGGATTAATTGATTTATTATTGTTCTTGTAATAGAACAACATGTTGGATTAATTGATTTATCATTGTTCTTGTAATAGAACAACATGTTGGATTAATTGATTTATTATAGTTCTTGTAATAGAACAACATGTTGGATTAATTGATTTATCATTGTTCTTGTAATAGAACAACATGTTGGATTAATTGATTTATTATTGTTCTTGTAATAGAACAACATGTTGGATTAATTGATTTATTATTGTTCTTGTAATAGAACAACATGTTGGATTAATTGATTTATTATTGTTCTTGTAATAGAACAACATGTTGGATTAATTGATTTATTATCGTTCTTGTAATAGAACAACATGTTGGATTAATTGATTTATTATTGTTCTTGTAATAGAACAACATGTTGGATTAATTGATTTATTATTGTTCTTGTAATAGAACAACATGGTTGAATTATTTGATTATTTATTGTTCTTTAAATAGAACAAGAGGGTTGAATTAATTAATTTATTGTTCTTGCAGAGGCTTACAGGAACATTTAATGTTAACTTGGCTTTTCTTCTTCTTCTGCGTTCGACATCAGCTATGCTAAACATTGATTCCCGTCTGGGTCACAAATAGGATTGTGCTTTTAAGGTCGCCACCGGTCCCCCGTAGCTTCTCTTGCAATCTGGCTCCCTTGGGCCAGATCCACAGTCTTTGCTGGGAGAGGTAAGGGCAGTACTGTAGTATGTGCCCAGGGGTCTGTCTTTGTGCTCCACAATCACAGGCAGCAGATTCTTTTATGCCTATCCTGTACAGGTGTGCTGTAAGACCACAGTGTTCTGTCCAAAGCCTAAAAGTTGATGTTCGTTCTTTCCTGTTAAGTTTGTTGATGCTGTCACTCTCTAGTCTGTAATCTCCATTCTGCCTTCTCCCCTGCCCCTTAAAGGATTGCTTTAGCGCTGTTTTGGTTTCCTTGTAGCTGTGTGGTGGATGAGGTTGTGGAAGGATACTCCCAGCTTTTGCCAGTTCATCTGCTCTCTCATTTACTTGAATACCACAGTGAGCTGGTATATACTGCAGGACAAGTTCTTCTTTCTTGGAGAGCAAGCCTATGTTGGTCCTCAGATCTGCAATTAGTATGTTTTGTTTTTTGCTCAATAGTACTAGAAGAACAGACAGTGAGTCAATAAGTATAACAGTTTTGTGTCCTTTGTGTTTTGAGTGATATTGTGCTGGACTGCTGAAAGAAGGGCAGTTGCCTCAGCTCTGAAGTTAGTGCAGATGTCACCTGCTGGTAGAGAGAAAGTTTCTGCTGTACTACTGTATCTGTAGCAGAGCCGTCAGTGAAAACCTGTGTCCAAATGGTGTTGAGATATTTCTCTTCAGGTATATCAAGAGCCAGGCTTCTCTGTTGTCTCCATCTGGGCATCTTTTAAAGTGAACCCTGGTACTTTAAGGACTACATTTGCCTTCTCTGGCTTGCGTGACCATGATTCTGGCCTGAGCTTTTTACACAATGTAACATCTCTTTCAAGCAGATCTTGGTGCTGTCTGTACAGTTATCTAGCATGGTGGTTGGGGCTCTGACGCTTAAGTCTGTTTTTTTGTTCTCTCTTGAAATTTATAATGCAGTGGGTGACTTTGTAATCTTTTCAATTTCTTATACTGTAGAAGAGTTTTATATTGTTCAAGTGGTTCAGCATCTGCTATCCTCTCTATCTACCACAGTTTTCTGTAACAGATATGAGGCTGTGTTTGTGTATTCGGAGGCCTTCCAAACTGCAAAGTCATCGGCATGTAGGGTATGAGAAACATGCTGGTGCCAGGCTGTTGTGATGTCATTTATGTAGACCAGGAACAGGGCTGGCACTATCGCACTGCCATGAGGAACTTCTCTTAGTTTTGTCAGTTTGCTGATGTGTCCATCTTTTCTGAATCTGGCTCTGCGTTGGAAAAGAAAGTCTTTGATCCACTTGTACATGTTGTGCTCAACTCCTGCCTGTAGCAGTTTTAGTTGTAGACCTTCTTTCCAAACTGTATCGAAAGCACGAGAGAGGTCAAAGAAGACAGCAAGAACTTTCTTTGTGTTTCTGTGCTGTCTGTATCCTGTCTGTGTGGTGGTGATTACCAAGTTTGTCTCCAAGAACCACAGTAGCCTTTTATTTACTAATGTTTCCATCAGTTTTCCTAGACAACTAAGAAACTTGACTTTTAAAAGCCTTTTGGTCCATATGCAATATTTTTTAGTAAATGTATTAATATCCGGGCCTGTTGAATTTTGCATAGGTCTAAATAGAACTCGTCATATGTAACTAAATTTACAGGGAATGGATCCTAACCAGAAGTGCGGGGTTTGCGGCCTCTTGGTGCAAATTGTTTTATTGGCTGGGATTTTCATGCCTCTCTATAACACAGGATAACATCATCATCTGGAAAAATGAAAAGTACCAGTGAATAAACTAGAACATCGTAGGAGGGAAAGAGTTGAAGTAATTACTGGCTGGTACGTTTAAAAAAACAAACCACTACATATGTAAAATACAACAATGGCTTGAACACAGGGCCCTTAGCTGTTTCACTATGTTCAGTAATTCATCTTTGAACTTGTTCTTGTTTTTTCTGACAGAATATTCTCATCAAGAAGGGAGAGAACAGAAATTACCAAGCGGTCATTGCTGATTTTGGATTAGCTACACAAATACCTGATCCTGGGTAAGTGGGGCTTCAGCACTGCCATAGGTTATACATGGAATATATAAAATGTACAAAGTCCTGGGATCCCTTGATGTGATATGTGTCTGGGGTCAAACTGACCCCTAGAGCAGCGGTTCTCAAATTGGGTGCCGCAGCAGTAATGAAAAACTCATCCAAGCCGTTTCATTCATCATATTAAAGACAACCAAACATTAAATTTGCAATGTTTTTTTCTTTCTTACCTCAAGTATTCAACCGCTTTAAGGGTAACTGTAGCGGGACATTTTTTAGCCCGAAAAGGGTGCTGCAGCCCCCCCCCCCCCCCCCCCCCAAGTTTTTAGAACCGCTGCACTAGAGAATGGTTTGTGAGGTAAGAGGCAGACATATTTTTGTTGTGTCCATTCAGAGTACTCACAGAACAATTGTTCTAGAGTTGCTATGTCCACTCACAGTACTGACAGTGTTTATTTCTGCTCTCTAGATCCACAGAACAATTGTTCTAGAGTTGCTATGTTCACTCACAGTACTGACAGTGTTTATTTCTGCTCTCTAGATCCACAGAACAATTGTTCTAGAGTTGCTATGTCCATTCACAGTACTGACAGTGTTTATTTCTGCTCTCTAGATCCACAGAACAATTGTTCTAGAGCTGCTATGTCCATTCACAATACTGACAGTGTTTATTTCTGCTCTCTAGATCCACAGAACCATTGTTCTAGAGTTGCTATGTCCACTCATAGTACTTACAGTACTTATTGATGTTATCTCGATCCACAGAACCATTGTTCTAGAGCTGCTATGTCCACTCACAGTTCTTCTTTTTTGCGTTCACCAGCTGTAAACTGTGGTGGAAAGTTCTGGTTGTTCGTCCACTTCAAGAATGCAGTCCTGTTCCAGAACCTGAGTGTTGCATGTGCATCCATTTTACAGTTATGACACATTTGTGTGCAGACTGTTGGTTCCTTGCCTCTCAGGCTGATGCACTCTGACTTCGAAGGAAGTTCCCAATTAGTCAACTCTTACTACATGCTTTTGGGTAGGCAGTGGGTCTATTCCCTGGAATCCGTGGGGGGGGGGGGGGGGGGGGGGGGGCTGCTATGTCCATTCACAGTACTGACAGTATTTATTTCTGCCCTCTAGATCCACAGAACCACTGCCCCCTGTTGGCTGCCCCTGGTGGATGGCCCCAGAGGTGATTCATGGCCAGTTCTATGACGAGCGGGTAAGCTGTTGCTGCAGATTCTGTCTTGTTGCATCTCTAGAATTGTCTTGTCTCTAAAGGATGCTGACCGTGACTCCAGATTTAGTCACTTGTATCTGATCTTTTTCACACAAAACTAGTCTCCAGCCAGTAATAGCAAGTGCTTTGTCCAACTGTTGAACTTTCTTCTTCTTCTTCTTTTTCTGCATTTGACATCCGGCATGCTAACCATTGAGTCCTGTCTGGGTCACAAATAGGATTGTGTGTTTAAGTTCGCCATCAGTCCTCCATAGCTTCTCTTGCAATGTGGCACCCTTAGGCCAGATCCACAGTCTTTGCTGGGAGAGGTTAGGGCAGTACTGCAGTATGTGCTCAGTAGTCTGTCTTTCACCTGTTGAACAAAAGCAGAATGAAGGAGTCGCTGTGTGGGTTCAAGGGCTGTATTGTGAGATGAGCCATCTGTGCTTCGGTAAGTTAAGAACCCTTTTCTACGCCTCTAGGCGTATAGGGCTAGACCTATATTTTTATAGACCAATCAGCACAAGATGAGTCGGCATCAGGCTGGCTGCCTTTTCTTCCCTTGACTGCACCAGGTTAACCTGGGATTTGAGGTCATTTTTGAAAAAAGTCTGGCTACGCCAGGGAGCAAACCCACTACCTTCCGATTCGCATGTGAGTGTCTAGCCGCTATGCCACGGTGACTCCCATTTCTGCTATGGCCAGAAACATATATTGTAACCTCTGACTACTATTGTAGTGTATTTCAGTATATTTGCAGATGGTTGTATCAATACAGAGACAACATCACAAATGACGATGTTCACCATATGATTACCTAGCACATTGGCAACTATGAACCTCTTTTAACGATGCTGAAAGGACACAAAATTCAATGGTATGGACAAAAAAGATCTAACAGCCTCTTCATCTAAAAAGGTATAATGGCCTCTCAAAAACAATACTACAGTAAAGGGAAGAGGAGTAGAGGCAGACCAAGAAAGACATGGATACAGACTTGAATTTGCTGGACAGGCCTTAGGCTTGAATCCATGGAGTCAGTTGCATCTGATGGTCAGAAAGTGGAAGGAGCTGATCAGACAGCAGCAAGCAGTGACCCAGGGACAGTAATGATGATCAGTTTGTATACTTCCTTTTTATTGTTCCTTAGAGGGACTGTGATATTTTGTGCCTTTCAGCTAAATACTGCTGATTTCAACAAGTCCTTAATTGCTCATTTTTTTTTTCTACTGGCTTGTTAATGGGTAGGGTTGCTGTTTTGGGTTTTTTCCTCCCCAGAATTCACACACAGGGTGTCTCTCCAGAATTGGGCCCCAGAACTGACACATGGAGTGCCGCCCCAGAATTCACACACATGGGTGCCTCCCCAGAATTGGGCCCCAGAATTCACACACAGTGTCTCCCCAGAATTGGGCCCCAGAACTCACACATGGAGTGCCTCCCCAGAATTGGACCCCAGAACTCACATATGGGTGTCTTCCCAGAATTTGGCCCCAAAACTCACACGGGTGTCTCCCCAGAATTGGGCTCCAGAACTCACACACACCGGTGTCTTCCCAGCACTCACATATGGGTGTCTTCCCAGAATTTAGCCCCAGAACTCACACACAGGGTTTCTCCACAGAAATGGGCTCCAGAACTCACACACATGGTGTCTCCCTAGAACTCACACACATGGTGTCTCCCCAGAAATGGGCTCCAGAACTCACACACATGGTGTCTCCCCAGAAATGGGCTCCAGAACTCACACACATGGTGTCTCCCCAGAAATGGGCTCCAGAATTCACACACATGGTGTCTCCCCAGAAATGGGCTCCAGAACTCACACACATGGTGTCTCCCCAGGAATGGGCTCCAGAACTCACACACATGGTGTCTCCCCAGAAATGGGCTCCAGAACTCACACACATGGTGTCTCCCCAGAAATGGGCTCCAGAATTCACACACATGGTGTCTCCCCAGAAATGTGCTCCAGAACTCACACACATGGTGTCTCCCCAGAATTCCCACACATGGTGTCTCCCCAGAAATGGGCTCCAGAACTCACACACATGGTGTCTCCCCAGAAATGGGCTCCAGAATTCACACACATGGTGTCTCCCCAGAAATGGGCTCCAGAATTCACACACATGGTGTCTCCCCAGAAATGGGCTCCAGAACTCACACACATGGTGTCTCCCAGAAATGGGCCCCAGAACTCACACACATGGTGTCTTCCTAGAACTCACACATGGCGTGTCTGCCAAGAATTTGGTCCAGGACTCATTTTCATAGAGGCTACTTGTTTAAAAACATCATCATAATGTGACATATTCCACCATATTTAGAACGAACTATGTGTTGTATGATGGTTATAAAAGATGAGGTTAACAGCATGACGCTAGCAATAAAATGTTGCCAGGCACAGCCAGCAGTGCAATATGGCACATGTACATTCGTCTTTTGATGAATAGAAAAACCATTATCTTCTTCTTCTTCGCGGTCACCAGCTGTAAACTCTGGCAGAAAGTTCTGGTTGTTCATCCACTTCTGGACTGCAGCCATGTTCCAAAACCTGAGTGTTGGGTGTGCATCCATTTTACAGATATGACTCATTTGTGTGCAGACTGCTGGTTCCTTGCCTCTCAGGCAGATGCACTCCGACTTCGAAGGAAGCTCCCAATTAGTCTACTCTTACGACAGGCTTTTGTGTAGGCAGTGGGTCTATTCTTGTTTTCCCTATAGTAGTGCCCGGGATCCCACACGGGTAAGAAAAACCATTATGAAATGGTATTTGAGAATGTAGTTCAAGTTTAATGGGAATAGAGATGTGCAGTTGCTACAGAACCCCCTTCCGGCCTCATCATTTCCATGACTGAACATAAGTTTGGAATCCTTGGCAACGTGTGCAATGTGCAGAATTGAAAATCCTAGCAGACACTGCACAGCAACAAGTCCTGTAAGGATCTGTTAGTGCATCTCCATGCAACCAATTGCTAACGTTATGTATTCAGAGACTGGAAATATCATACTTGTTTTTTTACTGCTGGGCTATTTATTACTGTGTTAACATTGGTTTGGCTGCCTCCGTATTTTCTAAAGCATCTTGTTTTTCGGCAGGCGGATGTGTTTTCTCTGGGGATCATCCTCCTTGAGATTACTGCCCGGATTGAAGCGGATCCTGAGACTATGCCAAGGACTAAGGTGGGTGCCCACTCTCCCTCTTATCTCTCTTGACTTCCACATATGCAACAATGGCATCTGTACCAAAGAGATCAAGACAAGACTTGATATGGCAACAGCCGCGTTGTCGCAGCTGAATATAAGATGTGGAAGAGCACAATCAGCATCGTAGTCAAGGTCAATATTTACAAATCACTGGTATTGTCTATTTTCCTATACGGGTGCGAGAGTTGGACTCTCACTGTGGAAATGGAAAGGAGGATTCTGGCATTCGAATGTAAATGTTACAGATGCATTTTACGAATTTGTTATTTAAAACACAAAACTATAAAATATGTCAGAGATAAAATATACAAATTTGCAAGACATCAGGAGCCTCTCTTGGCTGTGGTGAAACTTTGTTGGGAACATTGGGGGTTAGTCGAAGAAGAGGAAGACAAAGAAGAACCTGGAATGACAACATCAAGAAATGGACAGGACTGAGTTATCATACACTTATTCATTAAGCAGAAGACAGAGAAAAATTGTGAGTTTTATGTGCTAGTGCTTCCATCAATACACCTCCACGACCCTAATGGGTCCAAGGTTATGTTCTCTCTCTCTCTCTGTGGTGGGTGGGTTGGTGGGGAGGGGACTGATTGTTTGTGCTAGCTTATTTTGCTTAAAATGTTTAATTCTAATGTCAAATCAGTACTTTTGTATGGGGCGGAAACATGGAGAAAAACTGAGGCAATAACTAATAAACTACAGACATTCATTAACTGGTGCCTGGGCAGAATAGAGGGAATAAATGGAACGATAGAATCACTAATGTAGATCTTTGGGAGAGAAGTAAGCAAGCTCCATTGGACCAAGAGGTGAATAAAAGGTGTTGGATAGGACACACATTGAGAAAACCTGAGAACAATATAACTGGAATGTCTTTGGATTGGAACCCACAGGGGCATAGACATAAAGGAAGGCAAAAAAACACATGGAGAAGGGAGTTGGAGAGTGAAGTTATAAAGATGGGAAGGACATGGGGAGAGCTTCATGCAATAGGAAAAGATAAAACCACTTGGCGTGAGTTGGTTGAGGGCCTATGCTCCGTTGTGGGCTAGAAAGGCAGAAGAAGATGTTGCTTACAGTGTACCTCAGTGTGATTATCTCAGTCAGAAACAAGCTCCCTAAGTGGCTTCCAGTGCCCCATTTTGATGAGGAAAAGAACTGACCCACTGCCTCCTAAAATGCTTGTCATAAAAGTTGACTACAGAGAGCATCTGTCTCAGAGGTGAGGAAGCAACAGCCTGCATACAAGCAGGCCAGATCTGTAAAAATGGATGTGCACACAGACTTCAGGTTCCAGAGAACGTCCAGAAGTGGACAAACAACAAAATATTCCGTTTGAGTTTACAGTTGGTGAACGTCAAAAAGAAGAAGATAACTTTTTTGTACTGAATGATTGAAAACATTGTTGCACTGAATGTTTTGCAGTGTCCTTGGCTTAGGTGTTGCGAGTCCGACTCGTAATTCCAACATACCGTGATCGAAACCCACTGCTGGCTGCGTGGATTTTTATCATGGTATGGGGAGTTGCAGGTCTATCTAGCCTAAAATGGGTACCAGGATGGCTTTCCTGGGGAAGTAAAGATGGCTGGCGTAATGCTGACCACATTACCCACCCAGTGCCGATTGGTCTTTAAAAAAATATGAGGTGCTCTTCCATTAGCCCGAGGGGCCTAAGGCGTGAAAAGGGATCTTTGCTTTACTTACTTACTTACTGAATGTTTTAAAACATTGTTTTGCTGAATGTTTCAAAACTTTGTTTTACCGTATGTTTTAAAACTTTGTTGTTCTAAATGTTTCAAAACTTTGTTTTCCCTGTATGTTTTAAAACTTTGCTGTACTGAATGTTTTAAAACTTTGTTGTACTAAATGTTTTAAAACTTTGCTGTACTGAATGTTTTAAAACTTTGTTGTACTGAATGTTTTAAAACTGTGTTGTACTAAATGTTTTAAAACTTTGTTGTACTGAATGTTTTAAAACTTTGTTGTACTAAATGGTTTATATTTTTATTGTACTGAATTTTAAAAAAAACATTTTTATACTGAATGCTGATAACTTTGTTGTACTAAATATTTAATAACTTTGTTATACTTCTTCTTCTTCTTCTGCGTTCGACATCAGTCATGCTAAACATTGAGTCCCGTCTAGGTCACAAATAGGATTGTGCGTTTAAGGTCGCCACTGGTCCCCCATAGCTTCTCTTTCAATGTGGCTCCCTTGGGCCAGATCCACAGTCTTTGCTGGGAGAGGTTAGGGCAGTACTGTAGTATGTGCCCAGGGGTCTGTCGTTCTGCTCCACAATCACAGGCAGCAGATTCTTTTATGCCTATCCTGTACAGGTGTGCTCGAAGACCACAGTGTCCAGTCCGAAGTCTATTGTTTGTTCTTTCCTGTTGAGTTTGTTTATGCTGTCACTCTCTGGTCTGTAATCTCCATTCTGCCTTCTCCACTCCCGCTTGAAAGACTGCTTTAACGCTGTTTTGGTTTCCTTGTAGCTGTGTGGTGGATGAGGTTGTGGAAGATTACTCCCAGCTTTTGCCAACTCATCTGCTCTCTCATTACCTTGTTGCACTGAATGTTTCAGAACTTTGGAGTCGACTACGTGAAAATTTGTGACCTGGTAGACTACTGTCCTCTAGACTTCCTACAACTGGCCTTCAAGTGCTGTCAGGTAAATGTTTCAGTCATGCTTGTCTTGTTCCCCATGTGGGTTCCAGAAAAGATCCTCTAGAAGGATAGATCCACTACCTCCCCGACAAGCATGTCTTAGAAGTTGACTAATTGGAGATGCTAGAATATCATATATTTGTGTGGGAGATAATAGAATATCATATATTTGTTTCACAACTACTAGAATATCATATATTTGTGTGGGAGATACTAGAATATCATATATTTGTGTGACAACTACTAGAATATCATATATTTGTGTGGGAGATACTAGAATATCATATATTTGTTTCACAACTACTAGAATATCATATATTTGTGTGGGAGATACTAAAATATCATATATTTGTGTGACAATTACTAGAATATTATATATTTGTATGACAACTATTAGAATATCATATATTTGTGTGACAACTACTAGAATTTTTGTAACTAGAATATAAATTCATTTGTGTGAGAGCTTTCTGTAATAATCATTGACTTAGATTCTCCCAGAACGACGTCCGAGCTCTGCTGTCATCAGACCAACATTGGAGAAGATCTACAAGAGTCTGAGCCTACAGAATGACACTGTGTCCAGTTCTGGTATGTTCTCGTGTGTGTTGTTCTTAGACTCAGTAATTTCTTATCATCTCTTTGACTGAATGTCTTTGTCTAGATTCATCATGTCTGTTTTATTATTTGACTGCCCGTGTGGGTTTCGGGGCCCTGTTGTAGGGAAAACAAGAATAGACCCAATGCTTCCCTAACAAGCGTGTTGTAAGAGGTGACTAATTGGGGGTTTTCTTCCAAGTCGGAGTCCATCTGCTTCAGAAGTAAGGAACCAATTCTTCTCCTTCTTCGTTAACCAGCTGTGAATTCCGGTGGAAGGTCCCGCTAGATCATCCTTTTAGACTTTTGGCTTTTACTTAGACCTGAGTTTTGCGTGTACATCCGTTTTACTGGCTTTTGCCGTTTCCTGCCTCACAGGCAGAAGTACTCCGACTTTGAGGGAGAGGAACCAATAAACTGCCTACAAATAAGTCAGATCTGTAAAATGGCTGTGCACGCAACACACAGGTTCTGGAATAAGTCCAAAATGCAGAGGTGGATGAACAACCAGAACTTTCCGCCGGAGTTTACAGCCGAGAAGAAGAAAAAGATTATTTGACTGATTTCTCATGTTCTTCATCTTTTCATTGTTTGCGTTTCCTTCTTTTTCCTCTCATCATTTTTCTGTTCCCGTGTGGGTTTTTGAGTTTCATTGTGGGGGAGACAAGAATAGACCAAAAAGCATGTTGAAAGAGTCGACTAATTGGGAGCTTCCTTCGAAGTCAGAATGCATCTGCCTGAGAGGCAAGGAACCAGCAGTCTGCATGCAAATGAGTCAGATCTGTAAAACAGATGCACACGCAACACTCAGGTTCTGGAACAGGACTGCAGTCCAAAAGTGGATAAACAACCAGAACTTTCCACCTGAGTTTACAGCTGGTGAACCAGAAGAATAAAAAGAAAGAAGATAAGAATAAATTGTACATAAAAAGATGTGTTTTTGTCACTGGTCGGCTCTGTGGCTAAGTCGATGCGAACGCTTCGTAAAGCCGGGGTGTCAGGTTCGGTCCCAACTGCGGGCCATGCATCTTGTGTTGGTTTCAACAGTGGTATCAGGAAACCGACCATCCAGTAGGCAATGGCAAACTACTGGACGTAAATTTTCCTAGAGAAACCACACAGCTGCTGGGGTTGGTTCTGCAACATCCTGTAAAGGATACCCAACTAACCTATTTGTCATTGTGTCACTGTTATTGCTGAGGTACATGGTTTCTTAACTTTGTTATTTTGTTCATCAAATTCTGCAGAAAGACTGCGCAAGAGATCCAAGTCTGAGGACAACATCATACAGATGAGCGACAGTTTCACGGACATCCAGGATGAGATTTACATGACTCCACAAATCGTCGCCCAGGCAATGACCAAAGATGACCCACACTACTGCCCCGCCACTGTCAACCCTTTCGCCGACATTAGCAAGTTTAAAGACGGAAGAAAGCTGCACGGAATCCCTCCACGGAAGAGCAGCGGCAACAGCTGCAGTCAGGGCAGTTGTGGGGATCTACTGTCGCTGTCTCAGGTTTCTGACTGCTGGCGTCAGCAGCAGAGAAGCCAGTCGTTACCTTGCTCACCTGTCCTGCTGCGGAAGGCTGCTGAAAGGCTGCATCTGGCCTCGATCCTCGGCAGTGAAGTGGTACAAGCAGAGCATCAGCATGACTTGCACATAAGCATCAGCAGTGATAATCAGACAGACGCCGAAAGCCCTGCTGTAGTCGACAGAAGAACCCAGTTCCACAACAGTCGCACAAGGAGTCTGGGCAGTCTTGACTTCTGGAGCTCCAGATATACTCCTGGAGTTGGTGGGCGCAGCAGAGGAAGCAAGTGTCGGTTTTATCCCAACCTCTCGGAGACAGGATATGGTGATAAATTTAGAGCTGAAGCAACAAACTCATACTATGAGGGTGAGATTCTTTCTGAGTTCAGTAGCTGCATGGATGACCTGATCCATGAGGATGTGTTTCATTCTGCATTTGATTTCAGTGTCAATCATTGTCTGGCTGATGATTCTCATGAAATCCTACCCAGCGAAGTAGAAGTGCTAGGGTGTTCTGTGTCCAGAGGAAGATGTGAAGACAGTCCAAGTGCTTCAAATCTGCCTGTCTTGTTTAGCTGTGGGGGTATTGTGGAAGAAGAAGATACACTAGAGATTAGTCCAGAGTCTACAGAGTCCCAGAATCATAAGCTACAGAACAACAAGCCATTAAATGAGGCATCAGATAATGAGCTACAGACCAACAAGACATCAAATAATGACCTACAGAACAATGAACCACAACATAAGGCATCAAATAATGAGCTAAAGAACAATGAATCGCAGTACAAAGCATAAAAAAAACTAGGTACAGAACAAGAAACTACAGGACAAGGCATCAATAAATGAGCTACAGAACAATGAACCACAAAATGAGGTATCAGATAATGAGCAACAGAACAATGAATCACAGTACAAAGCTGGAAAAAAAAAACTAGGTACAGAACATTGAACCACAGGACAACAGTGCATCAAATAATGAGCTACAGGACACGAACCACAAAATAAAGCATCAAATAAGGAACTACATAACACTGAATCACAGGACAAGGCATCAAATAATGAGAACAAGGAACCATAGAAGCAGGCATCAAATAGTGAGCTAGAGAACAATGAATCACAGAACAAAGCATTAAATATTGAGCAACAGAAAAATGAACCACAGAACAAGGCATCAAATAATGAGCTGCAGAATAATGAATCACAGGACAAAGCATCGAAAAAATAGATACAGAACAAGAAACCACAGGAAAAGGCATCAAATAATGAGCTACAGAACAGTTGGCTTTAGATGAATGAATCACAGAACATTAAGCCAGCAATCAGTTAAAACATTAAACAGTGAATGAGCCAGACCAAGCAGAAGCTTCAGAAGTGTCTTGACTCTGTTCCATCCACAGATCTTCGGTGGAAAACATCAGCAGTATGTGTACTGTGTTTAGCCAACAAGATAGATCATAGCTTACGACTGTGCTTTCCCAGCTGTGTGCTGCAAAACATTAGTGTGCCAGCTGTGTGCTGCAAAACATTAGTGTGCCAGCTGTGTGCTGCAACACAAGTGTGCCAGCTGTGTGCTGTGCCACATTAGTGTGCCAGCTGTGTGCTGCAACCATTGTTGTGCCAGCTGTGTGCTGCAACACAGTGTGCTGCGACACATTAGTGTGCCAGCTGTGTGCTGCAACCATTGTTGTGCCAGCTGTGTGCTGCAACACAGTGTGCTGCGACACATTAGTGTGCCAGCTGTGTGCTGCAACATATTAGTGTGCCAGCTGTGTGCTGCAACATATTAGTGTGCCAGCTGTGTGCTGCGACACATTAGTGTGCCAGCTGTGTGCTGCAACCATTAGTGTGCTAGCTACAATATGAAGCCCTGTTGCATTAACATAATTTATGTACGTGTCCATATCTCCTTTGAGAGATTAGTTTAACCTCTTGTTTGCTTGTAGATTGAATTTTCTCACAATATTATGTTTGTCGTCTTCTATTTCTTTTTCTTCTTCACTTCCTCTTTGACCACTTCAGGTGTTGAGGAATATATATAAGGTTGGGCCCACCTCGACCATAGCCACATTGTGCTGTTGTAGTTTCTCTGATGTTATCTTTCCATAATTTCTGATTTATATTTGTTGATATCTTTATATTTAGATGTTCCTGAATGTGTACATTTGATTTGTGTACGTCTGTCTAATTAATTAATTGACTAACTACAAAGGACATCACAACACTCCCGGCACTCTCTAGACATGGGCTGTTTCATGTCGCTAACGATGAAGTGTAGGCTGGGGGAGTGACGGTTCACGTGCTGTACTAAGTGTGTGTGTGTATGTGGGAAGAAAAAGGGGGGGGGGGGGGGGGGGGAAATGTCTGTATATTTCAATTCCTGTCTATTTATATGGTGTATGTTTGGTTGTGCGTTCAGTTGTGGGACATAAACAGAAATGTGAAGTTTTGTCTGTCTCCATCACCAGTACTTCTGTAATATCACACACACAGTTTGTAGAAATTTCATACTTTTCTACGTTTTTTTAAAAAGAAATGTGATAAATGTTGTCTTGTTGAAAATGTGATGTGATCGTTTCTAGACAGTTCTCCTGTTCAGATGTGGGGACGCCAGAAATGTGTTCATGCCAGCGTAAATATGTTAAATGTGTAGACATACCAGATTTGTATGACTTACTGAAAAAAGAATGTTACATAGATGACTAGTTTTTGTGTGTGTGTTTTTTTTTTTTAAATAGTTTCCTGTTTGGTTATTAAAACGTCCTGCTGTTGTAGCGCACTGTTTGGTTATTGTTAACATTTGTGTCTTTTGTAGCACACTGTTTGGTTATTGTTAACATTTGTGTCTTTTGTAGTGCACTGTTTGGTTATTGTTAACATTTGTGTCTTTTGTAGCACACTGTTTGGTTATTGTTAACATTTGTGTCTTTTGTAGCACACTGTTTGGTTATTGTTAACATTTGTGTCTTATGTAGTGCACTGTTTGGTTATTGTTAACATTTGTGTCTTTTGTAGTGCACTGTTTGGTTATTGTTAACATTTGTGTCTTTTGTAGTGCACTGTTTGGTTATTGTTAACATTTCTGTCTGTCTATTCTAGCATACTGTTTGGTTATTCATAAATTTTGTCTGTCTATTCTAGCATACTGCTTGGTTATTGTTAACTTTTGTCTGTCTGTTCAAGCATACTGTTTGGTTATTGTTAACTTTTGTCTGTCTGTTCTAGCATACTGTTTGGTAATTGTTAACTTTTGTCTGTCTCTTCTAGCATACTGTTTGGTTATTGTTAACTTTTGTCTGTCTGTTCTAGCATACTGTTTGATTATTGTTAACTTTTGTCTGTCTGTTCTAGCATACTGTTTGGTTATTGTTAACTTTTGTCTGTCTGTTCTAGCATACTGTTTGGTTATTGTTTACTTTTGTCTGTCTGTTCTAGCATACTGTTTGGTTATTGTTTACTTTTGTCTGTCTGTTCTAGCATACTGTTTGGTTATTGTTAACTTTTGTCTGTCTGTTCTAGCATACTGTTTGGTTATTGTTTACTTTTGTCTGTCTGTTCTAGCATACTGTTTGGTTATTGTTAACTTTTGTCTGTCTGTTCTAGCATACTGTTTGGTTATTGTTTACTTTTGTCTGTCTGTTCTAGCATACTGTTTGGTTATTGTTAACTTTTGTCTGTCTGTTCTAGCATACTGTTTGGTTATTGTTAACTTTTGTCTGTCTGTTCTAGCATACTGTTTGGTTATTGTTAACTTTTGTCTGTCTGTTCTAGCATACTGTTTGGTTATTGTTTACTTTTGTCTGTCTGTTCTAGCATACTGTTTGGTTATTGTTAACTTTTGTCTGTCTGTTCTAGCATACTGTTTGGTTATTGTTTACTTTTGTCTGTTTGTTCTAGCATACTGTTTGGTTATTGTTTAAAATTGTGTTTGTCTATTGTAGTACACTTTTTGGTATTTGTTAATGTATTGTTTGTCTGTTGTAGTACACTGGTTAGTTATTGTTAACATTTTGTCCGTCTGGTTTTTGTTAATTAATGTATTGTTTGTCTATATTGCACACCGTTTGGTTAATGTAGCCTGTGATTCCTCCCCCCCCCCCCCCCCCCCACTTTCTTCAAATGTTATTCTGTGTATGTTCACAGTTATGCTCTACTGAATTATAAGGGGGATAACTACTATTGATTACTTGCAGATTTCTTAAACATGTATTTGGAGAGTTCACTCCCTTTTCTTCTGCATAACAAGAAATCTGGTAATCTTAGTTTCAGCTTCATAGCAAACGTGTCACCCCATAGTTGCTCTGCGCCTATGCAAACGAAAAACATACAGAATGTTTATCACAGTACCTTGTGGAAAGATTGACAGACTGCTGTCTCAGCAAATGTACTAGCATACACACGCATTAAAAGCTTCACTATTATAATGAAGTGGGCGGCGGGGGGGGGGGGGGGGGGGGGGGGGAGGTTTGCAATGAAGTCTGAGAAAAGTGGCCAAATAATTTTTATGGGGGTGCCGGAATTGTTATTCATTTGGCTGGGTTCCCAGGTATATGCAGCGTGAAAATCGGCACGGAGATATGAAGTGACTACGCTCCGTACCATAAGCGGACGTGGTTTGTTGTCTATCGTCAACTCGCATACATCTGAAACGAGTCGGTTATGTTGGAATTATGGCGTGTTCGAAAGTTCTACACCACATGTGCCGACATACCTATTTAAAATATAAGCGAGCGGCAAGGAACAATCAACTGCACACAAATAAGCCAGTAAAACGGATGTACACGCAAAACTCAAGCACTGGACCAAAGTCCAATTGTTAGACACATCAAGATTGCATAAAACATTGTGTTTTGTGTGTTTAAAAGGGGAGGGGGGGGGCTTCTTCCTCATCCCACCTTCTCAACGAAACCGCGACAATTTGGATCTTGCTAAGAACCTTTCACAGTGCCGACCTGATAAGGATAAGCCATCAGTGACCCAAGAATTGGTTCTTTAGTAATATCTTAACCCCCAGATGAACGTCGCATGACAGTCCAACATTGTAAAGGGTGGTAAGACTGGGTTTTCCGGCTTTTTGATGCTTTTAACGACCCTGAAACATCCAGAACTGGCCCTTACCCCAACCCACCTTCGCCCCCGAGAGTGCAGCCTAGGTCCCACGACTGCATGCAGCCTATCTACCACCCCCTGAAATATTACTATACCGTGACCTGTCAGTTTCCCCTGTCTGAGGTAGGATATTAAGAAAGCACCGGTTTTTCTCAACAGAAATGCCTCTTATCCGAAGAAGTTTTCAAGTAAGAAAAATTGCCGGGGTACACAAATGTTCGTCACATCGGAGATCGCCTTAAGAAGTCTTCACTGTGGTAATCTAATTTAAATCAATTGCCTTGCCGAATGGCACGGGCAAATATGCTTCTATTGTGTTTTTAATTCATGTGTTGGCTGGCAAAATGCTGTTTAGAATCTTCTCTTGTCTTTCTCCTATGGCTGTTTTCATAGTTCTGCCCAGAAAACCGAGTTGTTAAAGAGCTTTTCACCGTATGCCTAGGAAGAGAAAATGGAAAGCACATGGAAATTGAAATAGTTAGGCATAATGATGACGGCCGGAGTTGCCAGGTGCTTGTTAAAATGGAGGCCAAGTTCTAGTCGGCAATTTTCAGTAAATGCAAAGAAACGGAGAAATGTCTAGTCAACCCTTGGTGTAGAATATAGATAGAGGAGATAGAAAAAAGCCGATATCTTCTTCTTCTTCTTCTTCGTGTTCACCAGCTGTAAACTCTGGCGAAAAGTTCCAG